ATTTTTGGACGAATCGATCGTTCCGTCGAGTTCTCGAAGCACATTGAAGTCGTATTGAAGATTTGATTTGCACACAGGCGTCGGGCACGTGCGGCTACGCGGCGATGGAGCACGACGAGCAGTGGGCGCGCTGCTGCTGCCGCGACACCACGTTCTGCTGCCCCCAGGGCGAATGGAGAGAGAGCTGCCTGTCGCGCGACGACTGGGAGGACGAGTGGGAGGACGAGGAGGACGACGAGTGGGACCGGCACCACGACGCGGACGAGGACGCCATCTTCGCCATGCTCCACGAGGTCCACGTCCTCGTCGTCGTCGTCATCGTGCTCCTCGCGTTGCTCATCGTCGTCCTCCTCGCCATCGCCGGCCTCAAGTACAAGGCGCAGGCCGCCGCGGGGTCCGCGATCGCCGCGATGGGCGTCGAGCTCAGCACCGCGGGGCCGAGCGCCTACAGCGTCGTCTAGGGCGCGCGGGTGATTACACGGGAGGCGACTACGAGTGGCGCCAGTCTGACGTCGCGTCGAAACAAGCCCGGCGCCAGAGCGAGCCTCGCGTTTCGAGCCCGGGCGGTCGCTCAAAGCCGAATCGCCGAGAACCCCGGGAACGCGGGAGAGTCAACTTCCCAATAAGCGAGGCGGACCGGTCGTTAATCGGGAAAAGTACAATTACGGTCGCTACGACGCCGGGGACGCCTGGTCTTACCCCGGGGACGCAGGGCCGAAGCCAGAGGCGTCGATGGACGCCATTCGCGCCGTCGGCCCCGGCCCCGGCCGGTCGGCCGGCTGGCCGGCCGACCGTCGTCGTCGTCGTCGTCGTCGTCGCGCGCGCGCGTGGAGATTATAGCGGAGAGCAAGTCCATGGCTTCCTCGAACGTGCTCTAGACCACCTCCATGAAGCTGCGCAGCGCCCAGGCACCGGTTTTGCTCTGGAGCGCCTCCTTGCCGCGCGAAGCGCGAGAAGAAAAATTCGGCGGGATCCAGCGCGCGTAGCGGTCCAGAACCGGCGCAGCTGTACGTGCCGCTCGCGCGCTGCGTGCAAGAGATCGCGCCCTCGCCGGAGAACGAGCCCGCTCCGCGCAGCCGCCGCCGCCGCCGCAGAGGCCACTGCCACAAAGTCGCCGCACCCGCCCCGCGCGCAGCGCGGGAGAAAATTTCGACTTCGTCGCTGGCCAGAGCGTAGAAACGACCCTCGCGAACAGGTGTGAGGTCAGGCACGCAGCCCAGCAAGTCCACCGCGCGCAGCGCGCTGAGATGGTAGCGCCATGCTCTCACTCGGCTGTGGTATTTTTCGTCCGCAGACCTTCGCCGGGGGTTTGAGAGAGGTACCCCGATCGATTTCGCCGGGGGGCGCCGCCCGAAGCCCAAAACGAAGAGGGTACCTTCCCAAAGCGTCTAGGAACCCTCCGCGGACGTAGGATTCGCCCGGGGACGTCTTTACGTGCTAGCGGACGCCTTATTGGGAAGTTGACTCCGCGTCGACGTTCCACGACATGGCCGTGGCCCGCGCGGCCTTCGAGCAGGCCTGGAACGACTCGCGGACGGCGGCGTTCGCCGCGCGGCACAAGGACCACCCCGCGCGGCCGCTCATCAGCCCGGCGCTCTGCGCGGACCTCCAGCCGCCGGAGAACCGGAGTACTAGGTTGTTATGACGCGTCGTCGACGAAGGAGAGCAGGCCGGCGAGCGCGAGCGGCAGGTCGGGGAAGACGGCCGCGCAGCGCGACCCGTCGGCGAGGACGCCGCCCGGCCGGGCCCCGTCGGCGGCCGCGAGCGCCGCGTGGCCGAAGGACCGGTCCGCGAGCTCGGCCTCGCAGCGGACGCCGTGGGGCGACGACGTCACGAGCACCGCGGCGCGCAGGTTCGCGGCGGACGCGGCTCCCAGGTCCGTCCGCGCGTCGCCGACGAGCACCGCGTCGTCGGCGCGGATGCCGAAGCGGTCGAGCGCCGCCTCGAGGAGCGCGGGCGACGGCTCGGCGCGGC